TTGGAGCAGTTTCGCGCGAATAATTGAAAAGTAGAATATGCTCGGTAAAAAAATCTTGTATGAATATCACGACATAGACAATGGCATTACATGTTACCAGTAGAATCAGTGTACATCTTTATTTATTGAAGTATTCTGCTTATTATTTGGAGATATTCACAATTATCACAAAAGTCAGAACAAACATAATTCTAACGCCATTCGAAGATTCAAATCCTTGGCCTGAATCGTCTTGACCCTTTAAACGACACACCAAAGTTACTCCCAGGCGCATCCTCGACATACTTTCTCGCAAGTTGCCGCGTCTGCAATTAACCTCATCCTCCAGGAGGGTCTTTAAAATAAATGACCGGCCACCACGGTATTGCACTCGTAGTTTCGGTGTTAAACCCCTTCGAGGAGGGTCCGAAGCGTGCCTAGGCGAGAAACTTCGCGGATTTACGCGCGTTAGTAACACGCTTCGAGCTAAGTACGAGCTTTATTACGCTGCATCAAGTTTTTCGTCGTTACCAATGTGACCCTCTCGTGTCATTGGTCTATCGGTCCTCGAATGCTTGCACGTCTCGAGCTTGAGGAAAGGTAACGCGGTATACACACTCGTGATGAAGGGTCCTCGGTTAACGAACTCCCTCTACGACTGTGAAGTGCTATCTCCACGAGGCTCAAAGGCGCTGTAAGAAGTGCCATTAAGGCGGCGATCATATCCTCCGATAGTTCGTCTTTGTGTATTAAAGCACGATGAAAGGTACGAAAGCGTTTGAGATACTCTGGAACCTGACGACCTGGAGATACCATCGATCCTTTTGTTCTTGATTCGATAATGGTCGATAGCGTGGTTTTGTAGGCTTCGTTATTTGAGCTACGATACGCCAAAATAGTGAGTTATACAGGGTGTCCGAGAATGTAAGTTATTTAGGATAGAGCTGGACGCTGTGGAATATCGTAATTGTATTTCATGGTGTCAATATAACATAGTGTTAGTTCGTTTCTTCGTATCATTTTGCATCTGATTATTTCTGTACGTAACTTATATTGAAATCCGGTAGGATCACTGTATTCCTTTCCATCTTTTATAATGTGTCGGTGGGACTTCGAATCAGTAACATTGTTATTTACACTACCGAGAGAGTTTCCTTGGTTTCGTACAGATATTTCAATATCACGATTAGTCTATAAAAGTGGTTCCTATCGCAATCCTTTATGGCTTTTACGCTAATACAATGACTCTATTTCGAAGTAACTGATCCCTATTTCAATATCATTCTGAATAATCGCGAGTTTAAAATCACGTTTCCATATGAAGTTCTTATCGACTACCGTTACAAGACTGTAACTTTCAACAAAAACTTGGATCATAATCATCCACCCGAGACAGGTCATACGAGCATACCGATCGTTTTACAGCCTCTTACGCCTCATCCTGCTCGAACAACGAGGAGAAAAACGAGAATTACAAGCTGAGATTGCAGCATCTGACAGGAGACGAGCGAACAAACGTTCGATTCGTTTCCCTGTGTGCGATCCCGCGGCGAAAAGGATCGGTAAGAACCGTTTTCCACCAATCACGGGTGCATGGAACGATTATCACGAGCCCGATGAAACAAGAGGGTCCGAGAACGATTCCTTTGAGCGTCTTTCGCGTTGCCCACGAAGGCTGTCATGGAATGTAATCTCGCGTTATAGCCGCCACGATATTCCACTAACGAGGGACGCACGCTTGTAGTGTGATTAAACCGCGCTATAACGCAGCGGGGCGTCCCAGGACGTCCAGGACCGGCCACAGTATAGGAAATTAAGGAATCGGCCGCGCGGGAGGCGTTCGAAGAAATCGCGCACTCGAGGAATACGCCACTGTGCGCGTCAGCTTCTTGTCTTTTTCTCCGTGTGCAAATTGCATCGTTAAGCGCACTCGCGGAGTCTCTTCTCTCGATTATTCCTCGCGAAATCAGTCGCGAATCGAAAGTTACATTCGCGTCGAGTCAAGACGAAGAAGAGGTGGAAAGGGTGTGCGTTTACTGGGAATGTGTTTGGTTGGTGTTACTGTGAAGTTGCTTGAATATATTCTATAGGATCTATCAGATACCATGATTTTGTTATTTGTACTGGAATCTTTTGAGGAAGGATGTAAATTGGTTCAGAATACTGTACCTAATTTCTATTCAATCTAGGGAATTAAATTAAAATTAATTGAGTAATGAAGGATAATGTTGAAAGAGGGTGGCAAGAGCCTATATATGACATTTATTTGTCCAATGTATTAGGTATTATTCCTACTTTTCATTTTCTCAAATATATATATACGAAAGGAGATCATGTATGACGCTTTACTGATTCGTTATAGGAAAGGGGTTTCTACATTTCAAAACAATTTCAAATTAAATGAAGGAATGTCGGTAAGTGCTCAGTAGGTGATCCTACAAGTCATCTATCTCAAGCAAATTAAATTGCATTCTACTAGTTACTTAAAATTCTGACCATCTGTCTACACCTTTCCATTACTTTGATTTAGTATAACTAACATATTTTCATAATATTTCTTGAAGTGCATATATTATTAAGAAGTGAACAAATTTATTTCAATATAGTAAATGACAAACTTATTTTAATATAACAAATTGCTTTTTCAACATCTTCGTCGTACTTAACAGCAACTTAACAACAATTTCCAGCAGGAAATGGTATGCTGGTTCATCCAATGGTATTTTGGTTGTTTATTTCAATGAAGAAACGGAGAGGGAATTGAGGTTACGATGAAATTATTTGCGTGCCATCGTCGGTGCTCCCTCGTCAATCTGCAATTCTTTGAGTTCCTCCGTGGGGTAGAGCGAACGAATCTGGCGGAGTATGGAATTCGCGGCAGAAAAACACGCGTCCGGGAAAACGAAAGAGTCGTGGGATGGATAGAGATTGGCGAGGCAAAGAAACATTCGCGATAATTGTGATTTACGGTACGGCCGCGAAGCAAATCGCGAGGAGTCTGTTTGCAGCGCGTCACGTCCTAGAATTATCTGTTCCTTGAATAGTACAGAGATAAATATCGCACTTATTTGATTAATTATCAGTTGCGAAATTTGTATGAAAATTATTTTCCTTACTGTAAGAGAATTTCCGATAAAAATCTTGCGATTGCGTTTTAGGATATTAGCCTCTTTTCTTACAATTTTTTCGGTATCTACTTAAGCAGACATTTATTATTAACTACTGCACCGTATAAAACGCAAAAATGCTGAAAAATTAGACATAATTATTATCTAGTGAGCCTTATTGAAAAATTGAAGCTACAGATTGAGTAAACGTTACGCTTTATTCTTCGAAAGGGAATAACTATCCATGTCACTATAATTAAGCGAATCTGACCTAAATAAAAATCAAAGTATCTCAAAGAACGCTTCGTACACGCAATAAACATGGCGCGTTGCAAAATCTGTTAATTTTATCGTTCTAAATACCGAACTTTCAAATTACAATACTCGTCAGCGAAGATGAAATAATTCCCCTTGAGATAAATCACGAGTTATTCGAAATTACTTTCGCATACAGCTATCCATCCAGATTATCGCAATCTCCAGCACCCAACACACCTCCTCTATATATATATACCATCGCTATTTATCAACACGTGGAACAATTACTCGCATTCGCTGTAGTATTTTACCAAGAAACCAAGACTTAACGCAACAGCCTGACCCGCACAAAAGATCTCGCAAAACGAGCTCGTATTCGACAGGCAATAAACGACCATACACGAGCAATATCGTTCCCTGGGAGATAGCCTGACCAGATTTGGCATAAGAAAGGCTTAGAAGAGTGTTCGACAATGGCCGGCCTCCGGTACGAGATTTCGAGATGACGCCGCCACCGCTCTCTTTCTTCCTCTCGTCCCATTTGCTCTTCGTCTCACCGCGTATTGGTGCCCGAGGGTAGGACGCAATCAGTGGCCTTGATTTATCGCGGCAATATACATTAAGATACCGACATTAAAACTAGGGGAGCCTCCCGTGGATTCCTGCTCCATTACCGCTTACGAAAAGAGAGAGGTGCTGTCGTCGCATCGACCGTTTCGATATACGAAGACGAAGATTGAATTCCCCGATGTCGAGTCCTGAGTGAATTGCTGGCGTCGCGTGCGTTTCCGGTCTGTACCTCTTTCCCGGTATTAGGGTTGCGTGGGGGATGGATCTTGTTTTAGATAGATGAATATATTGATATTCTCGAGGAGAATCCACCACTTTGGATATTCCCTATCTTTCGAACAAGGATGATGAATTTTCTCAGGTGACATGAACGCGTCGATGTAGTCGATGTCACGAATATTCATTACCGTTTCAGTTCTTAAGCAAATTATCGTAGTTCTTTTTAAATAAAAGTGGGGAATTAATTAAGTTTGAGTGAACTTTGCCGTGGACCTTCTGTATATTGTGTTCGAAATAATCGTGAATATAGCAGCTTAAATGTCGATTATCGCTTTCAAATGAAGATTTTGCTGCGTGGAAAACTTGCAGCATACGATAATTTATGGCAAGGCATCTAGTGATTCGGAGTAGTTATCGAGGTTTAGAATTAATCATTTAGAAGAAACGTATATAAAAGAGAATTCAAAGGTAGCAATCTGCAAAGGTGGAACTACTCTAATGAATGAGAGATTAGAATAGAATAAAAGATTCTAGCCACACATTAAAATAAAAGAAATGACATATCTTCGAGATTACGAGAATTCTAGTATCTTTGATTCTTCCTTTCAATATCTAATATATCGCATCAACTTCTATTCCCCTATTATCCCCAAAATTAAAAAAAAAGAAACAGAAGCTTAAGTACATGACATTGACTGAAAACGATACACAGCTCGTTGGATCGCATTTTTAAATTCACGAAAACGTCATTTGATTTACCGCAGAGAAGAAAACGGCAAGCGAATGACGGTTTCAAGGGATCCAACAAGCTTTTCCAATATCCCCTCGCCAATTACAGGACAGTGATCTAACCGTAGTAACGTGTAGTGTTTCCGCCATTGTCCGCAGGTCCGAGCGGGGCGTACAGTCCGGACGCGACGATGGGTTACATGATGGACGGACAGGCGGCGAGCATGATGCACCGGCCGCCCGGTGATCCCACCTTCCACAATCAGTACCATTACCCGCCAGAGTACTATGGACATCACTTATAAAGGTACGTGGGAAAGTAGTTCGACCGGTTCCGTGTTGTACGTGCGACGTCGAACACGACACCGGCGGCCATCGTTGATTTGATAATCAAGTCGGTGACGAGCTCGATGACGATGGAAAGATTGATAGCCGGAAACGAAGATCGAACGGATGGTTAAATTGGTGAACGTTAATGAAAACCCGAATAAAGGGTTGAATTTGATGAAATACATGAAACATCGTTCTTATCATTGGGAAATTGTAAGTATTTCTTGGTATTATTGGTGGAAATGATATTGAGAGGTCGTGAATGGATCTCTTAATTCGTGTAGGATTTTCAATTTCTTGGACTTTGCTTGTCTTTTTATATTATGTGACTGCTTTTGTTATTGCGTTTGGTATCATTTTTTGATTCCGTGACTCTGAAAGTTCCTGATCGAAAAAATCAAAGTATTAAGTGGCTATATAAAAACAGACTGGTTGTAAAGAAATTCTTGAAAGCTTGAAACGGGAAATGTCTTTCATCGAAACTGTACTGCTTCCAATATTTCACCAAGATTGAATGCTATTAAAGTTCACGATATCTCCCGTTGAATAATAATTCCAATAAAAATTGTCCCATTTTTCAAGCGCTTGTGAGAACATTTATTGACAAAAAGTAATTTACGACTACATTAAAAATACGCGTTCTTATTTTTAAAAGGTATAAACATATCGCACAGTTGAAACTAGCCTCTCATGTCTTAAACTCAAAGTACTTCACCCCTGGAAGCACATCGATTCTATCTCCTAACAAATTTCACGGCCTTATCGTCTCTTTTCCACCAAGTATGATCAGAAGACTTGTACAAATCATAGATTCTCGTACTATTTCAAATTACCATTCAGTCAGTCACTTCCGGATATAGCAATCAAGTCAGTAATCAAATAATCCCTGAAGCTTTGAAAATTGCATATACAAAGCGGGGAAGAACGCTTTTTTCCATCGTCCTCGGGGCAAATAGAAAACGAACGGTTTTATTAATAGAATATGATTTGTCACATTGCAGCAGTAGTCGCAAATAAAGGTAGGCGATGGAATGACGATTCTTGCGGAACGGGAAACGTAGCAGCGTGACGGAAGCGCAGCGTGCTCCGGTTGGCGTTTAGAGCAAGGTGCACGGGGGCAACAAGGAGCGATTCGTCGCCTCCAGGGCGTGATCGACGCGGAAGCGGAGAGATATTTCTCGGCAGCGTCGCACGTCGAGGCTCGTGGTGCCAGCTGTTCAAGCCAGGAGCACACGATGCGGACGGTGGAAGCGGAAAAACAGCCGTCGGTCTGGTTGTGGCTCGGAAATCGAGTATCGAGGCGGGGCAAAAGAAACTCGTGAAGAACAGGAGAAAGAAAGAGAGTCAAAGGATGGCGGATTCGTTCGCCAAAGCAGAGAAAGGATCCGTTGGCGGAGAAAGGCCGACACGGGGCGTGTGGAACGCGTGGAACCGGAAGCAAGATGGCTGGAGAGAAAGAGGAAAGAAAACAAATGGCGAGAGACGCGCGGCTTGAACGAGGACGAGAGTACGAGGAGCCGCGTAATACGATGGAAATTCATGTGATTGTTCTGTGTACAAATGTCGCGGTGTAATATTGTAGTGATCGAAGAATTTAAATGTTAAATTTTAATACGGTCGCGATCGAGCTATTATTAATTAACGATTATATAGAGAGGACATTGGGGACTACGAACGAGGTAACCTCGAACAGAGTGATATAGGCAATTTCTAGCGGGCATGTGTACATTAAGAATGAGTGGTAAGAAAAGCGGGATAAATAAAAAGGTAGAAAAATACAAGTAACGAAAGTGGTAGAGGGGGTTGGAGAACTAAGGCAAACCCGGTACTCGCGAACTCAGATCCGATTTAATTAATAGATAGATATTCACGTGCGGAGAGAGACGATGAAACGCAAAATTCAGAAGTTCTGGAGGCACGAAACTACGGAGAATGGAATTCAATATGATCGAACGGTATATATATGTATATATATATACACACAAACGCGCGCGCGCAGATGCGCATCCATGTGTATAGATATATATGGGTGTATAAATAAATATATATAGGGAAAAGAATTTTAGATATGTGGTGGGTGGCGTTTCGGAAGCCTATTAGGAAATGAAATGAGAGGAAGATAAATGTGGGGAAAATTGAGAAATAGTCGGTTCAAACGTTTAATAAACGTTTAACAAACGCATGTACGCACGATCAAAACGTAAATGCGAATCCGATAATGAAAAAACGGTGCGAGGGTAAAGAATATAGGCAATGTGAGGAACTGAATGGAACAAATTTAAGAATAGAAAAACATAAACGAACGAAACAAAAGGACGCAGCAGAACAAAAGAGAAACTTTTAGGACAGAAGAATGAAATCGACGCGTGTGCCGGACTCGAGCGTCGATCACATTCACTTGCATATATATAGGTGACATTGAAATTTGTACAGTTATTAATTATAAATGAATTTACTAATTAAAGGAAGGAGTTATCATATAATATAAATATATACATAACAGACACACACACTGAAGTAACATGTGCGCCCCCCCTCCCCCGATTGTAATATATATATACAAGCAAGCGTTTTAATTGGACTTTGGGACGATAATTATTCTCGTGTGTGTTGTGCCGTGTTCGATGTGCGTACTGGACCGAGGAGACGCGTCGAAAGAATAAAAAAAGGAAAGAAGCGGGAAACAAGAAGAATAGGTAAAAAAAGCAAAGAAACGGATGGCAAAAGCGGATAAAGTACACCGATACAGACATGACGATAGTGCGCGAAAATGTGCGAGCGCGAGGAAGGAGAATAGTATACGCAAGCGACAGTTGGTGAGGGATTATATATATTTATATATATGGAAAAAGGTATATATATAAATATAAATAAATATATATGTATATACATATATACATATATACACAAAAATATAGATACCTGCGAGAAGATCAGACGGTTCTTCGTCATTCTACAACTCGATGACACAGTTAGACCTCTTCTCCCCGACCTGTCCGACTCCACACGTATAGAAAACGATACACACGCGTAAACACACACACACATATATAACATATACAGCGATACAGAGGAAAACACGTAGACACAGGCGCGCGTAAAATGAGCGTTATTACCCAAGCCCCGTCTCCCCGCACCGTAAGGATAATTACGAAAGGAAAGGAACGCGCGAGAATCTAAAAACAGGCGAACTACATGCGATCTACAAGTTTAATTAATATAATATATTGTGTATATATATAAATAGTTAATTGAACCGCGGCGAGCGTGGGAAGGGAGGAGGGCAAAGGAATACCCAAGATTGGCAAGGCTTTACGAGAGATGTTCGCGACCGCGCAGAATTCTCTCGCTCTCGTCTTTCCGCTCCTTTCTTTTCCTGCCGTTTTCTTTTCCCCTAGCCGCACCGCGGGGAGGTGAAAGGGCTCGGTAATAAACGGAGAATCTGTGGACCAGTGAGATCCTCGGCGAACAGTGGAGGTTGAATCGGGAAATACGTGCGACAACGAGGAGTATCGTATTGGAACACTTTGGTTGGTTTCTTTCGTTCTCGTCTTCTCTTAGTTTGTAATTCTTCCTTTCTCCAATTAGTCACTTTTTGAATACAGACACAGGCGCGCGTAAAATGAGCGTTATTACCCAAGCCCCGTCTCCCCGCACCGTAAGGATAATTACGAAAGGAAAGGAACGCGCGAGAATCTAAAAACAGGCGAACTACATGCGATCTACAAGTTTAATTAATATAATATATTGTGTATATATATAAATAGTTAATTGAACCGCGGCGAGCGTGGGAAGGGAGGAGGGCAAAGGAATACCCAAGATTGGCAAGGCTTTACGAGAGATGTTCGCGACCGCGCAGAATTCTCTCGCTCTCGTCTTTCCGCTCCTTTCTTTTCCTGCCGTTTTCTTTTCCCCTAGCCGCACCGCGGGGAGGTGAAAGGGCTCGGTAATAAACGGAGAATCTGTGGACCAGTGAGATCCTCGGCGAACAGTGGAGGTTGAATCGGGAAATACGTGCGACAACGAGGAGTATCGTATTGGAACACTTTGGTTGGTTTCTTTCGTTCTCGTCTTCTCTTAGTTTGTAATTCTTCCTTTCTCCAATTAGTCACTTTTTGAATACATATATATATATACATATATATATATACATATATATATATACATATATATATATACATATATATATATACATATATATATATACATATATATATATACATATATATATATACATATATATATATACATATATATATATACATATATATATATACATATATATATATACATATATATATATACATATATATATATACATATATATATATACATATATATATATACATATATATATATACATATATATATATACATATATATATATACATATATATATATACATATATATATATACATATATATATATACATATATATATATACATATATATATATACATATATATATATACATATATATATATACATATATATATATACATATATATATATACATATATATATATACATATATATATATACATATATATATATACATATATATATATACATATATATATATACATATATATATATACATATATATATATACATATATATATATATATATATATATATATATGGAATAAATATCAAGAGCTTAAAGAAGATACTATTTATTTCATTCAGTACTATTAAAGATAATAATCGAGACAAATGTCATGCCCTTTTTTATTCACCTATGTCTCAAAATAGAACGAATTGGCCCTATAAGACGTAATCCTTCTAGTTTGCTGTCAAAAAGGAGAAAACCCGCCCATCGATTTAATTTTTGTATTAGTGGAAAAGTTTCTAGCAAAACTGCCTACGATATCGCAGTGAAATCAATGAAATTTCGAATATTTACAACGATCCAAAATTGGGTGCAGCTTCGTCGAAATTTTTCCCATTTTCAAGAATAAGTTTGAGAACGAGATCAAATTTCTTTTGAAACATGGACGACATTTCTACGAAACTGTTAATCAGTATTCACGATCTATCGAAATTTCATTGGATTCTCGAAACGAATGCAGCTCGTGACTGTAATCGCTGTGTATATTGGATGGAACTAGCCTTAGAACTGTCTCGAAACAGATCGTCGAATAAAATCGCAACTATAAGATGGGCCATTTTGATCTCGACACTTTTCTCGACACTTTTCTCGTCCTTCCCGTATCGCTTTCCTTTCAGAAATTACTTACCCCGTTGTTCATACAATTTTTTTAACAAACTAATTGACGCAGTTACGATGCTGAAAATTTCTTTAGTGAACAATTTTTATTTCGTATTTTTATTTCGAATAACCTTCCAAACATTGATTCAACGTTTAATTTTATTCGGTAGACAAGAAACGCAGAAAAGAATCGAAGAAAGAGGGAAAGAAAGAAGCGATATAAGCAAGCGAAGCGAATTTTTGTGATGTAAGGATAAAGGAGAGAGAACATGAATTAGAGAGAAAGAGTTAAAAATTTAATTAAATTAAACGTCGAATATAAATCAACGCATGGAAGGATGAATAGCGTGAAGTTCGAAATAGCTCGTCCTAGGTATCTTTTGATAATCGGGTGAATTGCTCGATAACAGGAGAAACGGAACGAAGGTAAGGAGAAGGGAGATTGTGAGAGAGGCTTAGGAGAAAGAAGATGCGAACGAACGAAAGAAACACAGAGCATACGAGACAAATTTTATCGATATTTTCAATACGCCCGCATACACGCAATTCTTGTATAAAAAATTTTAATGTAAACACACTGCTCTTGCCGCGAGTCGTGACGTTCACGAGAAAATCGATGCTGTCGTTTCTCGTTACCCCTGTTCGATCTCAAAATACGATCTTTCAAATTGTATTTGCGAGAAAAGTCAATCTTCTACGGAACGATAACGCGAAACGACGCTCGATTTTTTTCTAGCCACGGTCGAGCGGCGTATTAGTATACTGAAAGAAAAAAAAATGATAACCTACGTATACCGAAAGACTCAGGTGCGAGAGAAGTCAGTTATAGGTCCTGGTTAATTGGTGAAATTTCCGACACTCGTCGAGATCCATCGCGACCGATTTTCCGATCGGTGAGCGCGAGTACGCGTGCGTAGCTCCTCTTCACGAATGCGACAATCGATCGTGCGATCCTTCATCCGCGAATTTTTTCCAAATTTCGACAATTCGAATCTGTCACTTGAAACGAAAAATACGAAAACTAAAAAAGAAATGTATAAAACACTGAAAAGAGAAAAGCAGGAACATGAAAACGCGTTAGCATCACGTTTTCCCGGTTGAAATTTCTCGACGACCTGGTTACCTGGATACATCGTATACGAGAAAACGCGAAAATAGTAGAATCTCGCGCGTTCGAAATCGTCCCGCGGCTACGACATGTTTTTTAACATTTTCATGCAAATTCTCACAATATTTTTAGTAAGAGCTTTTTACGACACGGGGACTGAGACTTTATACCATTTTACTGAATAAGCAGCGTCGTTCCCGTAGACGTGGAATTTTTTCGTTTTTATCCGAATTGAACCTTGTCAATGCTAGAGGGGACGATCTCGCGACGTCCGATGAACAATCGTATAATACATAATCGATTATCAAATACGAGACAATCATGGAGACGAACGCGGATGATGGCCGACGAAATGATGCCTAATCGAGCACGATCGTTTACGGAGCGAAGTGTTCTTACGAATTCTATTTGTTGTACGATATATTGTTTAGTTTTGTTAATGACCGCTCCCTCGATCGTTTCCGATTCCGCGCCGATTCGTCGTCGCGCATACGAGAAATTTCAATGGGAATCTTTAGCTAGAGCTTTATCAAAATCGTTTTACCAAATAAAATGAAACAATATTTCCAAACAGATGAAATTATAAAACGAGAATGTAAATGAGCAACATTGGGCCGTCGTTTCCGTCTGTGATGAATTTCTCGAGTAGATTGATACACGGTAAATGTCCCGATTTACCAGCGACTAGGGACTACGACAACGACGATTAAATTATTTTTTCATGAAGAAGATCGATGTCCGATGAAAATCCCGATGGAACAGACGCCGGTGGAACGTTCGTCGGCGCATTTCCGTAGCAGCATGCGAAAGTGCAACGTCCATGGTGGACTCGCGTACGAACACGACTCCGTCTTTTTACCCCGCTCGCTGACACACCACCCCCGAGGTCGGAGAACGCGATCAATATTTTCGTGGAAATGCCCGGCGACGCGTTACCCGGCGAAGAAAAGAGTAAAGGGGGGAGAAGGAAAGAGGAATAAACAAAAATATGGAAAATAAAAGTAGGATCGCATGATCGATTAACGAAAAGAGCCTATACAATTGGTGCGAGATGTATAGGCGTGTAAAAAGGGAAATGAAAGAACGAAAGGAAAGAAAACATAATGTTGTAGCGCTTATGAAAGGAATGTGAAGACGGCGGCGAACGGACGACGTTTATTGGCTGTTCGTTTTCTAAATGAGTTCACCCGATTGAATGAATCATCGCCTTAAAAATGTATACGAAGTAACAGTAAGGTATCTAAGTAATAATCATGTTAGAAGGTAAAGAAACTTAAAACAAAGATTTTATGAGCGACGACAAGAGCGGTTATAGGGCAACGAGAGAACGCGAGTGAGA